AAAACAAAGGTTGTAATTTTCTATCAGAGACAGCTCTTGTGCACATATACTTGAACACACTTTTAGAAGGACACCATCTACGAAGATAAAATGCTACATGAAGGGTCCAGTTATTCCCATCGATAGCAACTGTGACAAATATTTTTTTTTAGATACTACCCTCTAAGAAGGACACCATCTACGAAGATGATAGGCAAGAACTATATTTTTTTGGGAACAAAAAATTTAGATGTAGAAACATTATATATTTTGAAGAAACAATAGAAAAGTGAAAAAAAAATATACCACCAATCCAATAGCCACAAAACATGCTTCGAAACGATCTATCAAATCAATTTTGATGTGAGTGTAAGTATGTGGGCTAGTTCGACACACTTAAAATCATAATGGGCACAAGAAGAACATTTCTATTCTTAACTACTAAGGTTAACTCAAGTGCATGAAAATATATTTTAATACCTTGAGCAAACCTTTAAGTTATAGATATATTATTCATACATAACTAAAATAATGTATTATTGTACATTAAGTCTACTAAGAAAGTACATAAAAACACTTGTTAAAGGATCAAAATAAGAAGATAAAATATCAAACAATGAAAAGAACAGAAAGAGGTTAATCAAAAACAAATTTCGATTAAGAAAATCTCTCACAAAGAGAGAGTGCACAAAGCGATATATTTACATGAAACCATAATGTAACTTATATAATATATCGATGGATATTCTAGATTCAAATGTCTACATATCAGGGATTAGAATAACTAAGATAACTACCATATTGTAAAGATATATACTATATAAGACAGAGCGTATCACAAAGATAACGGAGCATGATACTTTACTAACAAGTAATATATCACATTGTCTTCTTGAGTATGATCAGCGTCACATGCGTCGATGATGTGTTCAACATGATAAAGGTTTTACACACGAGATTATAAGGTTTGACCTTAAAATCTCCACCAATTTGATGATGTCAAAACCTTGTAACGCCCCGTTCTAAAAGTAATTAATTATGGATTCACGAGATCAAGAGTAAGGGCGTTTCGGTCTTTTATGGGCAATGGATTTCATTCGAGAAGGTTTCGGATGGTTGAGGGCCTAAGGTATTCCAACCCGATGGTTGATTGGACCCATAATATGGTGGCACTCCAACCCGATGGTTGATGGCCTGGGGTATTCCAACCCGATGGTTGATTGGACCTATAATGTCTTGGCATTCCAACCTGATGGTTGAGCGCCAGCGGTACAACAACCCGATGGTTGATTGGACCCATAGTATGTTAGCATTCCAACCTGCTGGTTGAGGGTCTAGGGTATTCCAACCCGATGGTTTGTTGGACCTATAGTATGTTGGCATTCCAACCCGACGGTTGATTGGACCTATAGTATGTTGGCATTCCAACCCGATGATTGAGGGGTATGGGATATTCCAACCTGCTGGTTGATTGGACCCATAGTATGTTGTTTTGTATATGTGCTATTGTTTGTGTGTTGGTATTTTGGGGGAAACTCACTAAGCTTTGTGCTTACGGTTTTGGTTTATGGTTTCTAGTGCTTCTGTGGATCGTGTCAAGGTGAAGGCATGACCGTACACACCCTCTCATTTTGGACTTATGATTTATGAGAAACTTTGATAATGTGAAAGTTTTGAAAACTATGTTGAAAGAAACTTTATGTTTTAAAGTAATGTTTTGGAAACAAGGGTTTTGTAAATACTTCTTTATAAAAAGGGTTGTTTTGAAAAGTTTAAATTTTATGAATTTTTAAGGATATTTCACTATTGCATTACCACTTAATTCTAGAGTCATTTGGCTTAAATTAATCATAAGTTTCATATAAAACATCATAGAATGATAGGTGGGGGTCATAACATGCTAGACTGTACTTTTCTACTTTTGGTGTTAATATGAAACACGATGAAATTGGCTTGGCCAAACAAACAATAAACGCATACATACAAATAATTATTCGACTAAGTGGGAGAATGTTGGAAAATAAACCTGTTTAATATGGCCTTCAGACTATTTTGCAATGTTTTATGTGTTAGATACATTTATATTGTGTACCATAACATTTAACATATGACATATCAGGTCCCTAAGCTTTATTATTTGTAGTATGATGGATATCACATATATCCATAATTTAAGGGACCAAATTAGTGTGGTTCTAAAACTTTTCCCTAAGGTGTAAATTGATTAATTAAAAGCACACATATGAGGGGGCATATGTTTCTAAGAGAGACATAATCTATTCTTATAATTGATGCTCATAGACATCTCTACAAACACCATAATCATGTGTGTGATTCATCCATGATAATCGATTAGTTAAACACTAATACGGTAAGTGAAAGAATCATAAGATAAAATTAGCCATCTTCAACATCATCTACTCCAAGTAAGTGTTCTTCAATTGATTTAGGGTTATCTTATTTGTGCATAAAACTGTTCTTGGATTATACCTTAATATCCACTCTATGTCCTCCCCATTAATTTAAGGGCCGGTCAGTACACCCATAAACGCACACTCTGTTAAGGTGGCATTACAGTATGTGGTGCACACAATACTGACCCCCCCCCCCAAGGTTTGACATTATGGTATCTTCACCGCACCAGAAGACCTTATCGCAACATTTTTCTTAAGATTTAATTGGTTGGTCAAAAGTTAATGAGAAGATAGCACTACTAGAAAAATAGCCTTTTACGACGCACAAATTACGACACTCATTAATTTATGTTACGCAAACGAGAGTGACATTAAAAAAGTGTCATCTCTTCAGAAAATTTAAGGATTTAGGTTACGCATTATTGCGTGCCTTTAAATTAGTGTCAAAAGAAAAAAAAATTAAAAACACGAAGGGCGCTGTACCTTAAATGCGCGTCCTCTATATGTGTCGCTTTATAATTTTAATGAACGCGCGTTCCTTAGTTACAAGCAGGAAAAGAAAAGCCAAAAAATTAGAAAAGCCCGCTACCCTCCCTGCCCTAAGCATTTTCATGCATCTTTCATTCTCCTCACACTGTTGTGCAACTTCTCAATCAAAGATCAAAGGTTACGATTTCATCTCCATCTCTCGACTTCATCATCTCAATCAAGAAAAAGGGCTTCTGAGACTCGCTCAATCGCTAAAAGCCTGGGATTTGCTAGCTTCTCTCTCATCACCACCACACTTCTCCTTCTCGCCACCATTACCGCCGCCCAAACTCCAACTCCAACACCACCGTCACCGCCACCAGCATCCGATTCCTGCAACGGCGTCTACTTATCCTACACTTACACATCCGGATCCAAGCTCCCACCAAACCGAACATCAAATCAACCCTACCGCTTCGAATCAACCCTTAGAGTCCTCAATAACGCCGACGAAGAGCTTAAATCATGGAGGGTGTTTGTGGGTTTTCAGCATGATGAGTACTTGGTATCTGCTTCTAATGCTGTAATTGCTGATGGGTCTGCTACTTTTCCGGGTCCGGTTGGAAACGGCACCGTTTTTGCTGGATTTCCAAGTGCTGATCTCAAGACTGCTATTGAAACTGCTGGAGATGTGAATCAGATGTCGGTTGAGGTCGATTTTGTGGGTATGCAGTTCGGAGTCGACTCGCCCGCTGTTCCTATGCCTTCAAATATTTCTCTAGTGAATGATGGCTTTGTTTGCCCTAGACCTTCTATGCAAGGTGAATTTCTCTTTATTGATGCTTTATAACCTTACTATAGCTTACCATGGATGAAAAGGATTATGATCAAAGATTGCCCTGTTTAATAATTTTTAAAAACTATCCTTTGACTTTGATGTCTACTATTTGAGTAGATCAGTGGAGCGTTCTTATAGATATGATCTTGGTTTATATGTGGTCGTATCACTGAATAAACTTACTAATCTGATCTTACTCGAAGTGGGTTATTTTGAATTGCTTGAAATTTGCCATGGTCGAACTTAGTGTGTGCTTGAAACTTACATTACTTTCTTGATTTCAATTGTTTGAACGTTTCTAATCAAGGGTTCTTTGTTACAATCTACTTGAATTTGTTTATGTTTCTTTAAAAAGTTTGAACTTTGTTACCTTCAAGCAATTAATCAGCAAATTCTTTGGTAGTTCCATCTTCCATGAATAGACAATTTTATAGATGTTTGACTTTCTTGAAATGGTTTCTTTTATTAATTGCTTAAAAACTTGCAGGATTGAACTTTTCATTGTGATGTAAATTTACCTAATTTTAACATCTTTAAAATACTATCTTGTTTTTAATTGCTTGACCAATTCATTCAAGGGCTCTTCTTGATTCATTCTTACTTGAATCAAGTCCATAATTGAAAATCAACAAATTCTTTTATAATTGGTTCTATGACCAAACAATTTTACTTGATTAATATATTTGACTAAATCTCGTTGAAAAACGAATGCCTGATTTCCAATTAGGATTTCGTATTTATGGAATCCAAGTTCTTGATTCCTGAATTTGATTTCCCTTGACCCTCCTTACAGATCCGTAGAAAATTCAGAAGAGCCGCCACATATCTCAAGCACACGGTACCATCATGAGTGACAATGGGAATGATCATTTTGGGGATGTTACAGATGTTTCTCCACTTGCTGGCATGGTAATAATATATATCCACTTGCCAATGATTCTACTTTTTTTTTTCTGTGAACTCTATGAATTCATTTTTCTCCAATGTGTTTCTTAGGATGGTTTGTTGGGTGTCTCTGCTTATGATGCTGACAAGAACTGCACGTGCCTCTTCGTATCATCAAAAGCAACCCCTTATCAATCTATTCCAACAATGGTTGGCTCAATGATTTCCATTAGGTATTGAACAAAATCGCCTTGACCTAAAAGGATATATCTTTTAATAGCTAAACAGTGTTCTTTAAACTTATATTGGTTGAAAATAATATCCATTAAATGTTTATCTGTTCTTTTTGATGATTCAGTGACTAAAGATTCAAGTGCATTAGTTTCACCATATCCAAGACCCCCTCTCTTAGGATTTGTCCATGTGGAAGATTGCAGGATCCATAAACTCCAAATCACCACCCAGAAGAGGAATTTGACTCGTCACTTGGTATTCCATTTATTTGATGATTATTTTATTACTTCAGTTGCTAATGCTTCAAAATTATTAGTTTATGACCTTTTCTTATCCTTTTAAGTAATAAATCTTGTAATATATTATCTAAAATTTAGGAGTAAAAGTATAGGAAATCCCTAATGAATTTCTTTGATTTGTGTAGCTTACCTGGCCATGTGTATACGAATTTATCATCATATATTTCAATAACTATATAAAAAATTTGATGTCACAGGATCAAGAACAGGAAATTCTACCAAAATCAGTATGCCTTCTGCAACCAGTATGTACAAATTATGGTTTTATATCCTTGTAGAGTTGTAGGCACATGTTACTGATCACATTTACACATTTAGTAAAGTTTGGATGTTATCTTTTTCAGGCTTTTAACAGCCCCGGCTACTCCTCTTTTCCCTTCACTGGAATCTGAATCACATAAAATATTCATGAATCAGAATGGAGATTCTAAAGATCATCATCCAAATGCACCAAAATTTAGAGTAAGAACCACTATTAATGAAGGTATTCTACTAGGCTAGGATGCTTGTTGTTTGGATATGGAGCCATGGAAGAACTTGGACCCTTCCGTGTTAACAGTGATGGAAAAACACTCTACCCCAACCACTATGCATGGAACAATGGTAACAAAAATTCCTTTAAAAATTCCTTTAATTACTATGTCCCATTCACATCACTTATAATCTTAGTCCCTGTCTTGCTGGTGCATGCCTAACCCTATAAAACCTTTGCTTTTGAGGTACTAACTGTTTTCTCCTGGAAATTTTTTTGCCTGAGATTTTTTGCTGCCAGCTATCCCTTCGGGACCACTCTTATGTATTATGTCAAAAGCACCAATTCAGAAATTTGATGATTATGTAAGTCAGCTTTCCTCTTTCTTTTTGCTTTTTATTATTTATGCACCCTTATGCCACAAATCTCTTTATTTATCATACTAAATATGCAACCATCCCTTATTTTACTCCTAACTTGCTATATAATTCATTCATGTCAGCTGCATATATGTTGCATAAAATAAATTGGTAAAAGTAGACATGTGAATTATGGTTCGAGTGTTTATATTTAAAAGGATTAAATGCATATGCATATTTATCAAACAACATTCACCCTCTTCCCGATTCTGCAACAAATTTGTTTCTTTACTAGAAAATATGCACCGGTGTATTATTTATTGTAGGACCAAAACATACGATGTTTTACCAGCAACCTGTTTAACCTGATGAAGCATGGGTGTATAAGTTGCATAAATAGGTTAAATAGGGAAAGATGATTGCATAAATTGGTAAAAGACAATTCACTTATTATGCGTATTATGACTATATATATATATATATATATATATATATATATATATATATATATATATATATGTGTGTGTGTGTGTGTGTGGTTCAGGTTGCAAGCATTTTTGTCCCTATGGTGGTTGGTTTGTCATTAATGACGCTGCTAGGGTGGTAAGTTTCGAATCCATAGACTTGCAATAAATTACATAATACATAAGAGAAAAGAAGAGAAATGACATGTGGTAAATTTGATTAGTCCTCTATCCAACTCTTTGGCATCCTTATGAGTCTTCTTTCATGTATTCAAAACTGAGTCCTGAAACTGAATATCTTTTGGTGCTATGATCATTTATTTGAAGCTCTAATGTTTACCCAAGACTTAAAGGTGTGCTTTCCCAAGTTCTTCCTATTTTAGGGAATGTTAAAGATCAACATCGACCAATTTTTGTAAATGGTATGCTTAAAGACCCTTTAAATCCTTGTTTCCATGATTCCTTTTCACTAATTCTATCATCTATTGGTTCTTTCATACACATGCATCTGTTATCTCAAATCTTACATTTATTTTTATTTCTGTTTCTGTTTTTTCCAGCTTTTAGGTGTTGGTGTCAAGCTTGTTGGCAATACAGTGTGGAGTACCCTCTTTCATCAATTCTTAATAGTGATGTCACGTGAGAAATCATTTTTCTTTTTGTTAAACAAGTCTTTATTATCATGTATTAGGTCATACCATGGGTAAAAACAGCCTTGCCCCTGGTTCCGGGGTTGTCACAAAATACTTGACTTTTTAACTTTGTTTGTGGTTTCATTTAGTAATAATCCTTCTGAGGGGGTGTTTGTTGGGCTGCTTCTTCCAATGTCATTAACAACAGTGGTAAGTAAAATCTTACTACTATAAACCTCTTTTGCTTAAACCTACCTTATTGACCTGTAGCTGATTAAACATTAAATTAATTATGCAGGTTTTGAAGTTTTTGATGGAAAAGAATAGTGTTAATGCTCTTCATAGAAAAGTATGTTGGTATTTTATGAAATTTGGCTAATAATTTAGTTAATTATATAAAAAATGTTGAAATCTTACATTTGTCTACTATTAGAATGATTATTTGTAGTATTACATTTGTCTACTATTCGAATGATTATTTGTATAACATTAACTTTTGTGCAATGCATTGTATTATTTGTATATGGTATTTTATTTTCCATTATGTGACATATAATGCAAATTTAATATGAAAATAAGTAAATCCATAAATAATTTTTTTTTAAATTTAAAATTACGATACGCAAAAATGTGTGTCATCTTCATTTATGACATGGCCTTTCTTGACATGGGCTTTTTTGATACGCATTGCGTGTCATTAACACGCGCGTCGTAAGGTTACGACACGCGAATGCGTGTCGTCTTCCTTTATGACAGGGCCTTTTTGATACGCATTGCGTGTCGTAAATGCGCGTCGTAATTGTGCGTCGTAAATGAACGTCGTAAATGCGCGTCGTCTCTCTTTATGACAGGGCCTTCCTTGACGCGCATTTGCGCGTCGTCTGAGCCGTTTACGATACGCAATAAGCGTCGTAAAAGGCTGTTTTTCTAGTAGTGTAGATGTGGTACAAGTCAAATATAGGTTGTTTATAAGTGACAATTGCACATGACAACGTTTATTTTTCCATTTTATTTCTCTTCTATTTTTGTTTTTAAAATCTATTGTTTGTGAAATTTATATTTTAACTTGTTTCGATCAATTTTATATCTACTTTAGATCCCACTAAAGCAATGGATTTGTTTGCTTTTGTTTATACCTTGCAAATATTTTACATGTAGTCTTAAATCAATTTTAATTAGATTGCTATTTAACTAATTTAGCGAGTGACATATTAATATGTTTCTGGTTTGGGTGTTCTCTAGTTATCAATCTTGATACATCATATTTTTGATGTTGTTTTGCTAATTAATCACATGATAGTTTTGCGATTATTTAGTTTAAGTAACCTAAGTTGGACATATTCTTAATCATTGTTATGGTGTTATTGTCTTAGCAACTTAGCAAGTGTTGCCACAATTTGTTTTCAAAAGAATATGTTAGTGTTATTGCGTGAGGTGTTAATGTATTTAGGTTGCAGCTAAGTTGATATTGGTATGTGTTATTAAGTATACTCTAATTGATATTCCATAAAGATATCAATCTTCAATTTAAAAGTAATTGATATTGATCTTGTTATTGTTGGGGGTTAGGGATGGGAAGACGATTAAATGTTGATTTTATCACATAAATAAGGGATGACGATTTCAAAGAATTATCAGAAAATATTATCCAAAAAAAATATTTTCCATATTACTTAGCTTAGGACCCTACAACGAGACGCATCCCTCTTGACTCCCGTCATTTGGTCGAATCGAGGTCAAAATCGTTTTATACAAACACGCACTCCGCACCTCCTAATTCTAAATAAAATCAATAATAAACTTCATTGATAATCTATAAATTTCATTATACTAAAATTACTTGGTGATATTAAAATCATCAAAACTTATTAAGTTTTGGTTTCGGCCCATCTAGTTGATGTGTCCATGTTTTGCCCCTACATCTATCCATCACAACCTAGGGGGTGGTGGTCACAATCTTCATGTTCGTGAAGAGGCACCAAGCAACAAAGAAGTTGTGTGGTCAGTCGTTAAGAAGACGACGATGTTTCATGCCGTGAAAGGCTTCCACACCTACACAATGGGGCTCGGGTGATATCCATATCGTAACATACTTAGATGATCTCCAACCTTTAACACTATTTTTTACACTATACTTATAATTATAACGTAAACACTAAAATCCTCCAACTGATTACAATATATTTAACACTAAAAATAATATTCTATGTATATTGTTCTTTATTCAACATCATATTTAATGTTACACTAAAATCCAACACTATATAGAGTGTTAGTTATAGTGTAGGGTTGAAACATTATAATATAATTTATAGTGTAAAAGTGGTTTTTTAGTGTATAGTTAGAGATGTCATAGACATTATTTAAAATTCAAATCCCCCTAAGGTTTAGCCTTACTACGAAAACCTGTTTTTTGAAATTGATTTCACAAAATTATATGCATTTACCAAGTCACCCTTGCTATATATATATATATATATATATATATATATATATATATATATATATATATATATATATATATATATATATATATATATATATAAAAGTTCAATAGAGAACCATAATTATTGCTTCTTCAAGGAACCAAATCTTTTTTTCAATTTCTAAAGTTTATTCTTTATCGAAAAAAAAATCTAAAAATATCAAAATTCATATATTAACATTGTGAATGTGAAAAATATTTTTCGGATTAACCGTGTGAATCCGGATTCATGTTGTGAATTTTCAAAAATTCACATTGTGAATTTGACTTAAAAAATCGAATTTGATATTATTGGAAAAGGATAAAATATTATGAATTTATGTATTTTTAGTTTTTTTTTATAAAAAATAAGTTCTAAAAGTTGAAAAAAAGATTGGTTCCATGGTTAATTATGGTTCTCTATTGAACATCACTATATATATATATATATATATATATATATATATATATATATATATATATATATATATATATATATATATATATATATAGAGAGAGAGAGAGAGAGAGAGAAAGAGAGAGAAAAAATTAAATATCCTCCTACCATTTGTTCATACTTTTCCTCCTATCGTATCAAATGTTGACATGTGTTACTTTTGATTACATATTTAATGAAATTAATAATCATTTAATCCACTTGTCAACATTTGAAAAAAAAACGGTACTTTTGTTTTAGTTAAATAAAGTTCCGAAAAATAATAATTAAAAAAAAATTTTGGATTTTTCTTTTTATTTTGCATCTTAAAATTATTTTTATATTTAATATCACGGTTTCACAAAGTTAGTATGGTCTCAAATGAACCTGAATATATATATATATATATATATATATATATATATATATATATATATATATATATAGAGAGAGAGAGAGAGAGAGAGATATTTTGATTATATACAGATTTCAAAACTGTCACTTTATTAATCCATTGTCAAATACTTGTGGTAATGATTAAATTTAAAAGGAATTACATGATTCATGCTATACAACTTGAGTAAAATGATGTCGGTGTCTAGCTATGTTCTAAAAGTTCAACATTACTAAGGTGCATGCATAAACATAAAACAAACAATGTGTTTTCATTTTGGATGTTAGGGAAGACTTTAGAACGTATAAACCCATTTAATCTTTTCGCAACGCAAATAAAAAATCGCATGAGAGAAATATTCTGAAACAATGATACTGTTTTTAGTTACGCAAACTTAAGGTGTGCTTTCTGTACTTACATGAAAAGTGGGGTTAATCCTATAATTTGGTGGACACAAATTTGAAGAAACATGTACCGTTGAAAGGTGGGTAGCACGTGAGGTTCTATTCCCGCATGCAAAAAATTCGAAATGTTAATAATAATAATAATAATAATAATAATAATAATAATAATAATAATAATAATAATAATAATAATAATTATAATAATAATTATGTTAATAATAATAATAATAATAATTATTATTATTATTATTATTATTATTATTATTATTATAAATTACATAAATGGTCGGTATGGTTATCAAAACCTTGTATTTTCATTCTAGTTTTTTTTATCGAACTTAAGATCCCTAACCATATACTATTTTGGAGTTTTGATCATTGGCACATATTTTCTACCCTTACTAAAATTTTCTATCTTTTAAAAAACTAATTTAAATTTAGTAAAAAAAAGTGTGAAAATGAGAACACCCCACCAGAATCGTTATTCACTATTACGAGACAAACTATTGCAGACATTCCTCTCTACTACTCATCTGAGTTGCTCTAGAAAACCCCTATTTCTCTGTTGACGTCCATCACCCACTTAAAGCACTTTTTTTTAACTGTGTGGTCTCAGTGATGGCTTCCATTTGGAAAAACTAATGAAGACTACTCTCTCTTACTATGTCATCGACATTGATCATCAATTACTAACAACCAGCACTCGCATCGTCCATGTTGAAGTTTGTAACATTCCCCTCCTGTGCGTATCATAATATTGTCTGTTTTGGGCCACCTTGTTCGAAAACTTCCAAGTGGTTCATCCATTTTGGAATTTCTTGTCCGAACACACTTAACTGGATAATTCTTATGAGACTTGTTTCCTTTACTGCTTTTAAACATGATGTGATATGCAACGTATTCACACAATTTATGAGGAATGCTTAGTTCTCATTACCAATCATTGTAGGACTAGGTGCAGGTAGCCACCCACCTTCACATCCCCTTTACAGGGTTCAGCGTCCAAGGCGAACACACCAGCATGTGCCTTAGCTCATATACTATTTGTAACATCCTCTCTGGAACATATCACCCGACATGAAATGTCCTAGTTGTTCACTCATTCTAGCATTCATCTTATCCGTACATGCTTAAATGCAGAGTTCTTATGAGATTTGCTACCCTCACGGCTTTAAAAACACGTTGTAATAGGGAAAGTATCCACACCCTTTATGAAGAATGATTAGTTCTCTTTCCAATTGATAAGTACAAGTAGCCACCCACCTTCGCCACCTTTACACATGTGGGTGGCTATTTGCAGTTGATCCTACATTGGGTGAGAATGAGAACTAAGTATTCCTTATAAAAGGTGTAGATACATTCCCAATCATAAGACATTTTAAAGTCGTGAGGGCAATATATCCTATAATAACTCTATAGTTAATTGTGCTTATGCGAGAGCAACTCTAGGGTAGGTGGCCCACTGAGAAATTTTTGTGTCGGGTGGCCTAATACGGACGATATTATGATACATGAAGAGGGGGATGTTACAATACTTACATGTTGAATTTTCCTTGGTTTGTAAAGGAAAGGAAAGATCGGTGCTTGATCCATATATGTAAGGCCTGCAAATCCGGCCTACACATTTGAAGGATTATCAATTATAAATAATGTTTTATCGAACAATGAAATTTTTTAATAGGATAATCATAAATAAATAAAAATCCACCATACTTCATTCGTGTTATATAAATGATATTTACATATTGCGTCCATGTTTTATGAAAAAATATTACGGGATTATAATATTTGTATAAAACCTTATTATAATTTTTTATAAATTAAGTTAAATAAAGTATAAAAAGTAAATGATTATTTAGGATAAATCATCTTAACAAGGTTGTAGTATTCGTGGTGACAATTATGTGGGTATAAAGAACACCCAAATTTGACTTGGTATTAGAAAATTATGATTTATCCAAGTTTCTCGTTCAACACGATATGACAATGCTAGTCATAAAAATTGAACCGGAGACAAGATCCTTTTTAGCCAAAGTAATGTAAAGAAATTTGAAGTCCTTGTGAATACGAAGTTGTACATAAAAAGAAAACTTAAATTTTACTTTGTATGAACAAATTATAATTTTTCATAATGACATAGTACAGTAGTATGTGTCACAGAGTATAAAATAAAGATCGGTCTATCATTAGACAAAACTATCTAAACAAAAGTTAACGTCTATGAAATTATGAATCTGTTGATATAGTGAACCTCGAGAACGAAGTTCATATGTGAAAAATATGAGCGAAACTTGGTCCCTACTATTTAGGGGCGACGAAATATGTACTGATTTGTAAATTTGAAATAGAATGAGAATTAGCCAACGGAGTCTAAATGAAAGTTCTAGTATTCATCGATAGGAAGTCAGGGGTATAAAGAACATTAAAAATGGTGCTTGTATGCAAAAAAAATAAAAAATACAAAGGAAACATGGTCCCTAAGCTTGATATGCAGCGCCTTTCACAGTGTAATCTTTACAGATTTGTAAATTTAAAATAGAACGAGAATTTTCCAATGGGCTGTAAATTAAAGTTGTATTACTTGTCGATATGAAGTTAGAAATATAAAAAATGTCGAAAACGAAGCTCGTATACATAAGATGCGAAGAAAACTTTGTCCCTAAGTTTGATATGTAGCGTCTTTCGCAGTGTAATCTTTATAGATTTTTAAATTTAAAATAGAATGAGATTTACGGAGTCTAAATGAAAATGGTACTACTCATCGATACGAAGTCAGTGATATAAAGAACATCCAAAATGGATCTTGTATGCAAAAGATACGAAGTAAACTTAGCGCCTCAGCTTGAGGCGCGACGCTTATAATTACAAGTCCGATTTCGGTTCATTCTTGCACAACTTTCCTCCAATTTCTCTCTAGAAATTCTTTCATTCCATTTCTGATTATTTCTGGTTCCTAAAGTAATTTAGCAAGGTTTTTTTTATGTCAGAGTGCCCGACGAAAAGAAGTTTTCATAGTTGAACATCTGCCAAGGACTTTCCAAGTTTTTCATAAAAAATATGTAAGTTGAGTTATGCTTATCGTACTTTAAGTATAACTTATATTTATGTTCGTAGTCGTTATTATGAACTTATAAATAAGATTTATTAGTAACATCAGTCGTTATACTGATAGATCTACTTATAAGAGTGAGACTAGATTTGTGAGGAGTTTAAAATGGATTTTCCAAACAGTGTATCTCTATATATAATTATATATACTAAACGGTTCCTAGCTCCGATACGATCTTACATGGTTGTTCCTTATAAGCTATAAGTCAATATTCTTTAGGGATTATTGATAAATCTAAGAAAACGTTCTGAACCCAGTAACGATTAA